AAACAAAAAAAAAAAAAAAAAAGAAAAGAAAAGAAAGAAACTCTGGAGCCACAGAAAATCAGCTTTATAACCTATGGAGTTCTGGGTTTATAAGAATCCAGGTCTTGGGGTCAGCAGGTGGCATAGTGGTAGAGGCACTGGACTCCCATGTGGTCAACTGTGGTTCGAGTCCCAGATCCGGCAACTTAAAACTCACACCTAGGGGACCAGCAGTTAGTGTAATGGCTATGTCGCTGGACTCCCAGTCGACCGCAGTTCGAGGCCTGGACCCAGTGGCTTAAACTCACGCTGGGTGCGTGTGCGCGCGTGCCCAAGATCCTGAGAGGAGAATGGAGGGGAAGGGATTGCGGCGTGGCCAACCTCCCTGGGGGGTGATTTCTTGCTTTCTGTCGTCTCTCTGTCTTTCTGGCGAGTGCACGCGCCCTATAGCAAAAACCTCTCAAAAAAACTCCAAACAAACAAAAAAACACACCCAGTGCATGTGTGTGTGTGCCCAAAATCCCAAGAGGAGGATGGAGGAGAAGGGATTGTGGCATGGCCATCCCCCCTGGGGGGCGATTTCTTGCTTTCTGTCGTCTCTCTGTCTCTCTGGTGAGCACACACGCCGTATAGTGAGATCTCTCTTTTTTTTAAAAAAAATATTTACTTAGTTAATCTTACTTATTCATTCATTTATTTTTAAAATAAATTTTATTTTATTTTATTTATTATTTATTCAATTTGACCATAGAGAGACAGAGGGAGAGTGAGAAAGCAAGCCACCAGGTCCAGGACTTGAACTACGGTTGGCCATGTGGGAGTCCAGTGCCTTAACTACCATACCATCTGCGGGCCCCTATTCATTTATTTTTTTAATTTGACCAGAGAGAGAGAGAGAGAGAAGGAAAGTGAGAAAGCAAGCCACCAGGTCCGGGACTCGAACCATAGTTGACCATGTGGGAGTGTCCAGCACCTTAATCACCGTGTCACCTGGTGGTCCCTAACAAAAATCTCTTTTTAAAACATAAAAAGTTCTGGGGCCATCAAGTGGCATGGTGGCTAAAGGTGCTGGACTCCCACGTGGCCGACGATGGTTCAAGTCTCGGACCTGGTGGCTTGCTTTCTCACTTTCTCTGTCTCTCTCTGATCAAACTGGAAAGTAATAATGATAATAATAATTTAAAAAGTTAAATAAAATAATTGTTTAAAATAAAAAGTTCTGGGATGGATGATTGTCCCCGCTCCCTAGGCCCTGCTGTGACCCACTGCCTCTGTGTCCCGCAGGTCAGAGTGGGCACCCGGCCCCTGAGCCATGCCGGGCCCCGAGCGGCCTGCAGCCAGCCAGAGCCCTGCACCCATGTGGTTATGAAGAGTCACAGTCACAATGGTTGTGGGGGGCGGCCGCTGGGCAGTGTGTCAGGTGCCCTGGGCCGAGACCCTCTGGACCCCGAGGCCGGCCGCCCCCCGCAGCCCCCGCACAGCCCGGGCCTCCAGGTGGTGGTAGCCAAGAACGAGCCAACCCGGCCCTCGTCCGGCAGCCCCCGGGAACAGCCCCAGGACCAGGATGATGACGAGGACGAGGAGGAGGAGGAGGATGAGGCAGGGCGGCGGGGGCGCTCAGGGAAGTCCCCCAACGTGGGCCACCGTTTGGGCCACCGCCGGGCACTCTTTGAAAAGCGGAAACGTCTCAGCGACTACGCCCTCATCTTTGGCATGTTTGGCATCGTTGTCATGGTGACGGAGACCGAGCTGTCCTGGGGCGTGTATACCAAGGTACGTGTGGCCCTGCAGCCCCAGGAGGTCCCTTGGGTCGGGGGCTGGGGTGGTCCCCTAGGAAAGGTGGGCAGGGTTTGTGTTTTTTATTTCCAAAGAAATTATTTTATTTCATTTTATTCATCGTTCTTATTTTACTTTATTTACTTATTTTTTTACGTTGGCCAGAGAGACAGAAGGAAATTGAGAAATCAAGCTACCGGCTCCGGGACTCGAACCATGGTCAGCCATGTGGGAGTCCAGCTGCCTTAACCACCCGG